ATACATGATCTGGATTGGTGAAGTCCTCAAAGCCTTTCGGTTGGCGCATATACATTGTTTCAGATAGAGTACCGTGAAGGAACATGTTCACCACATCAAGTTGTTGGACTGGCCAATTGTTGTTTAGAGGTACTGTCAGGAGTATAAGGATCGTAGGTAATTTAGCGACTGGATTGAAAGTCTCCGTGTAGTCCAAGCCATATTCCTGATTCTTTCCTTGAGCAACAAGGCGAGCTTTATATTTTTCTACGGATCCATTTGCATGCAATTTGGTACGTTATGTCCATTTGCATCCCAAAACAAAAGAGTTTTTGGGTGGGGGAACTAGACTCTAAGTTCCCTGTTGTTGAAGTGCGAAGAATTCAGAGGCCATGGCTTGTCTCCATTAAGAAAGTTTGTTGGCTTCGTGGTATGTGGTGAGAGCAGTCCGAAGTTCTTGAGTAGATTGATGATGAATAAGATTTATACGATTTTAGGATTTTAGAGATCCAATTTTTTTTTCTGGTTATCATAGGATGAACCGATATGTTAGTACTGGATGTAGTGGGATTGGAGGTATTGTGTTGTGTTGTAGCGCGGTTAGAGTTAGTGGAGTTCAAAACAGATTCAGGAACCGACTGTGCTGGTACGGGCAAGGGAATGGAGGGAGTTGCTTGAGGTTGAGAAGGTTGTAACACAGAGGTAGGTGTAAGAAAGAATGGAGATATGGCTGTGGGCCTCCGAAGGAGCACCGCTCGCGGGGGTTTGAATGCAGAGGGTACGGCCGCACTATCCCGTAGGATAAAACAATCGTAGGCCTCTACGCTCGACACGAACGGGTCGATGGGAGGGCAGAATGGATCGCACATACGACTAACCATTGAAAGGAAGTTTCGTTGAAAACCACGTGACGAGATATAATAATATTGTGAGTGATGAGGTCTAAGCATTTGTATCATTTGTAATTTTTGCAATAACCTAAGAAGACACAAGATGACGCTTTTGGTTGAAATTTGCGACGTGAGTGGCCGGAGTAAGAGGAAAGCAAGCACACCCGAATGTGCGATGGTGATCATACTCAGGTTTGATTTTTTGGAAAAGTTCAAACAGAGACTGGTTATTGGTATTGAAGGACGACATTCTATTGATGAGATAGGTTGACGTTAAAACAATGTCATGCTAGTATGTGTAAGGAGATGATGCCGTATAAAGGAGTGTTCGGGTCGTTTCAATAATATGTCGATGTTTTCGTTCCGCTACGCCATCCTGTTCTGGCGTATAAGGACAAGATATATTGTGAGAAATTTCATGTTTGCGAAGAAACTGAGTAAATAAAGTACTAGGGTATTCTCCACCGCCGTCGGTGCGAATGCATTGGATTTTATGAGATGTAGATGTCTCAATGTTCGCCTTAAAATTAATGAAAATATTAAAAACTTCAGATTTTTGGTACATAGATCATTGTCTGATACCATGTAGAAAAGTACGGCGTGCAAGAACATAAGAAGCAGAGAAAGAGACAGCGGGTAAACATAGAGAAGTAAAAATTATTATTAGAACCTGCCTTGTACAACCAAGCCCATTCACTATTTATAGATCTAAATAACTGCAGCTTTAATAGTTGCCTGCTACATATAAATTAAATATAACATGTTTTATCCTGTTGCTCTAATAATCCTAAGTTCAATTTGCTTTATATTTTCCATTGTTTTTTGTTTCAGTTTATGTTTTTGTATGCGCCTTAAGCTACATTTGGTTCTTTTTCCATTTGATGTAAATTTCATGTCATTGCAATAAAATGGCTTCGGCCTCATTTCTCCAAAAAAAAAAAAAATCCCTATATGGCTAATTTTTGGTAAGCATATGCACATAAAAATTTTTCTATATATAAGATGATGAAAATTTGAGTATCAAACCTAAATTTTGAAGTTTAATAAGAACTTGAAGCATTTTTAAAGATTAAAGAGCCCAATTTGATTCTTTGGTTGATCAGGTGCCTAAATGTGTTCATATTTCCATTCATTAAACATTTAGGCATATTTTTTAGTTAAGTTTGTGAATGATTGTAATGCTTGATTTGACCTAATTAGACCTAATTAGCCAAGTGGTTCGAATCAATCTTACGCGGCTCAGACCGGGCTCATCCGAATTGATTGGGTCTACATTTTCTTTTTTGCACAAACAAAAAATTTAACAAAATTATTGTATCATACATGTTCCATTTTTTCGGGAGTCTTTAGTGTCTCAACTTCTATGCGTGTGTGAGGAAATTTTATAAGAAAGTTAACATACATTAATGCTTTTTCAATGTTAAGTTAACTTTGAATCTCACCAACAATAGATTGAGGTTGTTTGAGTACAATAAAGTTAACTCAAATAAAGAACAATACTAATCCCTATACACAATTTTTGATGATGGATAATTACAATATCTTTCATCCTTTATATATATATATATATATATATATATATATATCGGGCCACCAAACCCTAAATTTAAGTCATTTTAGGGGTTCTTCATAATTGCAAGATTTTTTTTTTTAAAGTTTTGTTTGTAGATTGACGTCTACATGTGACATGTCACCATCACTCAAAGGTGAAGTTAATTACATGTTACTAATCCTTATTGTTCCTCCTAAATGTATTGATGAATTATTGGATTCTCGAAGATATTTCATAATTCTATAAAAACGGGGATTTAAGTGCCACAAAATTTTTATGAATTTACATATATAACACCTAAATGTTTATATTTATATATATAACTCTTTGGTGTCTCAATCATATCAAATATATGCATGAAAATATTCATTTTATTATAAATTTTTTTATGTAATTTAATATTTTGGGTGTTATATAAGTTTTTTTTTTGGATATTTAGGTCAATTAAGACAACCTTACACACACATTAAATAAGCAAGACTCAAATACAAGACCTCTTGGTTAATAGCCAAAGCTCCCAACCAACAATAAAAATGAGTTGCGTAACATCTAAATAATGATCTAATTCCACTAGGCCATTATCTTTCCCTAAAGCACAAAAATATAATAAATGATGCCAATAGGTCAAACAAAATTAATAAATGCATTTAATGCATGGAAATAAAAATGTATATTAACAACATATAAATTATGTATGTTAAAAGATATAGTGCTTATAAAAATTGCTAAAGTTACCGTAAAAGTTTTATGTAAAGAAAAAATATTGGGGTTCATAAGATGCTAAGGTTTTGTTTGGGATGATTTTTTTCATGCTTCTTAAAACGGCTTTCTGATTAAAAAGTTAAAATTTTTGTATTAGAAAGTCGTTTTAAGAAGCAGTTATAAAGCCGTCCAAAACGAAGCCTAAATGTGCTCATTTTCCATATATATAACTATAAGATCTGAACTATAACAACAAATCATGACATTTTTTTCATATAAATATGATTTGGCATATATTTATCAATTTTTTAGAAAATATGGATAAAAATAAGAAATATTTGGTAAAAATTTAAAATGATCATATAAATATGTGAAGTATAATTAGAGCAATGACATTAAAATTTATACTGCGAAAGATTTTGAAATATCATAAATTTTGTAAGTTTTAATTAAATTAAATTTTAAAAATACCAAACAAATAAAATTATTGAAAAAAAAAAATAGTGTAATGGTAGGCTATCATGAGCTAAACAATTTTTTCTATTGGCTTGCATAGTAAAAATAGCTCTAACGTGCGCGCGCTCACACACACTCTCTCTACCTTTCCCTTCTCCTCCATGACTTTAAATAAGCTTAAAATGAGGTGATTATGGAGATTATGGAGGTTTGATTTAAAGTTATATACACAACAACAACAACAATAACAACAAGTCTTTATCCCACTATAGAGGGTTGGCTACATGAATCTTCTTTTTTTTCCATTGTGCCCTGGTAAAAATTAATTTCGCATTTAAATTTGATAAAGAAAGATCATCTCTAAAATTTTCTAACCAAGTCTTTTTAGGTCTACCTCTACCTTTCTTAATATAAGTCAAATCTAATACATCTAATTTCGTAACCGGGTCATTGGAAGGTCGCCGTTTTATGTGACCAAACCATCTAAGGTGACACTCTCTAATCTTATCTTCCACTGGAGCTACTCCAATGATTTAATATATGCTAATTTCTAAAAGAGTTTCAATTGAATAAGCGGCCTCTAATATATTCTATTTTGTCATTAACAATGATTTAATTGAATAATTATCCTTTTTATAATGACCTCAAACAGCTTTATTCTTTATCTCCTTACATTTTTTTTAATATTATTATGGATGTTTTCCCTTGTTTCATGAATTTATATGTTCTTACTAATGCCGAAAAGGGAGTTCCCTCTAGAAATGTTATGCATACTCATCTTTTATATACCAACTACCTCTTATTTAAAGAAACCATTACCTCTAACCAAAACTATTTGGCAAACTCCTTGAATATCTTTAGATCATGGGATTAATGCCTAAAAATAAAATGTTCTATTTGCTTCTCCAAAACCTATATATATGCATAAATGTTTCATTGTGTTCGAATGATACTCAGGTTTCGTCTGGGATGGCTTTCTTGGTGCCTTAAAGCACCTTTTTCTGTATAAAATATTTAATTTTTAAACTAAAAAGCTATTTTTAGAAGCAATAAAAAACAATCACAAACAAAGCCTCAATCTCTTCATTTATTTCAATATTTTTTAAGAACTCAATTCCTTTAAAAAAGATTCCAAAATACATTGATAAAATTTGTGTCAAAATTATATTTTAGGGTGATTTTATAGTTAAAATGATTCATCTTATCATTAGGGACGAATTTCTTACTGATTCTTAAAGCATCTTTTTAATATAAAAATTAAAAATTTTGTTCAAAAAATTAGTAAGAAAGCCGTCCCAAACCAAGCCTTAAATTCAAAAATAAAGAAAAAAAATCAAAATTAGATATACTTACACAGTCACACCCCTAAACTCAACAATCAAACTTATTATTACATACTCCTTTTTTTCATGCCTCTCAAAATGCGCTACCCCCGCTATCTTCCCACCCTTCCATCTTCACCCAACCCCTTCCACCCTCTCCATTACGTCTCCGACCTCCACTCCCCATCAACTACCTCTTCCACCGCACCCGACTCCGAAGACGCCGCCGCCGCCGCCGCCGCCGCCGCCGCAATCCGTCTCCACTCATGCTCCGATCCCTTAGAGCTATCCCAAATCCACGCCTTCGTCCTCCGTCGCAATCTGCTCCACCTCTCCTTCCACTGGAACTCACTCATGCGTGGCTACCTTCGTCTCTCCATCCCTTCCGCCTCTCTCCAACTCTTCCTTCACATGACCCGCGCCGGCACATACCCTGACCACTACTCCCTCCCCATCGCCCTCAAAGCCGCTTTCACCTCCTTTTCTTTCTCCATCGGCCACCAGCTCCACTCAGTCGCCATTAAACACGGACTCTCCCGCCACCAATTCTCCGAAAGCGCTCTCATCTCGCTCTACACAAAAGCCGGCGACTTTATCCCTGCAAATCAACTGTTCGAGGAAAATCCCCACCGAAATCTCGGCTCCTGGAACGCCCTGATCAACAGCTACGCCCAGGCCGGCCACTCCTCCAAAGCTCTCTCCCTCTTCACCCACCTCCGTCGAATCGGTGAGATCCCCGACGAGATGACCTTGGTGAGCATCGCCTCCGCCTGCGGAACTCTCGGCGACATTCTGCTAGCCGAACAGATCCATGGCTGCGCCATCCAAGCCCGAACGACGCTCGACACAAAGCTCTCCAATTCACTCATAGACATGTACGCCAAGTGCGGTCGGACGGATCTCGCCTTGAAGGTATTCGACAGAATGCCTGTACGAGACGTTTCCTCCTGGACGGCGATGATAATGGGTTTAGCGACGCAGGGGAATCCGACATTCGCGCTGGAGCTTTTTCGTCGGATGAAGGAAGAGGGCAGGGTGGCGGAAAACCATGTGACGATGGTGGCGGTGCTCTGCGCCTGCTCGAACGCCGGGCTAGTGGAGGAAGGAATGAGGAACTTTGAGGCGATCGTGGAAGGGAGAGTGAAGGGGGTGGAGGCCACGGAATCGCACTATGGGTGTGTGGCGGATATGTTGGGGAAGGTGGGGAGGGTGAGGGAGGCGGTGGAAATGGTGGAGGGGATGCGGTGGCCGGCGAGTGCGGTGGTTTGGGGGAGTTTGTTGGGGGCATGTGAGAAGCATGGGGAGGTGAGGATTGGGGAGAAGGTGGCGGCGAAGTTGGTGGAGTTGGAGCCATGGAATGATGGAGTTTATGTGGTTTTATCGAATATTTATGCCGGAGAAGGGATGTGGGAGGAGGTGGAGAGAGTGAGGAGATTGATGAGGGATAGGAAGGTGGGGAAGATTCCCGGCTATAGTTTGCCGGATATTTCATGAATGAATTTCGTTTGATGATTTTGTTTAATTGACCAATATGTTGTTGAGATTGGATTTATATATGTTTATTTATTTATTTATTTGGGGTTGGTGTAAAGTAAGAAAATTTTAATATATATTTTTTATAATAGTGAGGAATTTGATTGTAAATTAATGTTAAAATATGGAATGTTTAGTTAACTCGTGTTGTTATGTGATGATAAAAGCATGGAGTACATTTGCTAGATTGGAGACTAAAGGTAGTTGATAAGCGACTTATGTGCTCATAAAGAGGCCACAAAGCCCATCTTGGTTAACAATGACTATGCTTGTATGCCAAATGAAGTTGATAGTCGGCTAGAGGTTAGCGGCCAACAACTTGAGGAGCAACAACTAGGCATTGAGGTGGTTGCGAATAAGCGTCATGACTTGAGATAGTGGGTTGCTTGAGCTGTTCGCATGTCACATACATAAATTTCGAACTCAAGATCTTTTCGTTAATAGTCAAAGTTACCAAGCAATAGACCAATATAGGGGTGTCAATTTCAGGTAACGGGTCTAACCCGGAACTGACCTGACACTATTCGGGTCAACCCGAACTATTTTTACAAACGGTTTGATTTTTCGAACCCGAACCCAACCGGCTTCGGGTCGGGTCAATCTGATACGACCCGAATGACCCTATAACGACAAAAAATTGCTGGTTTTCAGGTAAAAGAATGGGTCATTCTTTGATTTTCAGGTAAAAGAATGGGTCATTCTTTGATTTTCAGGTAAAAAGAAGGTCAATCTCATGTTTTCAATTAAAAAACAGATTTTCAAGTAAAAAATGAGGCATTTGCAGGTTACTGGGTCAACCTGAACCTGACCAATTTCGGGTTTGAGTTGACCCTAACCCAAAATTTCAACTCGAGTTTTTGGGTCGTGTAAAATATTAAGAGAGAGGCTGTCATTTATCATCAACCATGTGACTAACATAATGGCTAATGATCTATCATACTTTATGATAGAAATCAATAGAAACAACTGAAATAATTATTAAATACTTCATATTTCACTTAAATAATGCAAAGCTCAAAACATTAAACGGTTTCAGAAGCTGAAAATATTCACAACCCAAGATCAATTCATTCTTGAAAACAAGATTACCAGCCCAACATAAACTATAACACCTATCAATAAATAAATAAATAAAAACTGAACATTAGTCACTCTATAACTATCTCCAATCCCCAATCTAATTGTAAAGAATGCTTCTCAATTATGGGAGAACAAACCTCGTCGATTTAGCAGTTAGGACCGCAATATCCCGCTTCAGGTCGTAAGATTAGCTGCCACTAAACCCAAAAGAAGCCTCAAACGTCATATTACACAATTACTGTGTGAATGAATAGATTACAGTTTCTTTGGCAGGTTATACATTTTCTTCAGAAACTTCGAAGCAGCTTCATCATTCCGATGGCACAAAACCCTTAAAACCGTATTGGCATCTGTTGGGCTCCAGTGACCTGACGTCGGTGGTAAAGGGAGCTTGGATTTTGCCGTGGCACCGCAAGTCTCTATCATTAAGTGTTTAAACCGTTCAATGAGGCTTTCTGTGTCAATTCGAAAAAGGGGTAGAACACTCTTGACTTGGGCTGCGGCTTTCTCAACCACTTCCACTGGCAACCCATCTCCATCAGCCAAGTAAACATCTTTCAATGCCTTGAAATCATCCTCCAGAATCTGAGAGTCATGGCGAGCGAAAGCACGAGCCGGGCCGCCGGCGAGAAGAACGAGTAGGAATCCGTCGAACGAAGCCTTCATTACGGCAGTTATTACGCGGTTCCGCAGTCTGTCGTGGAGAATGTTGGAAATGGTTCCTAGGTTTTGATCAAGTTGTTTCAGCATAGGATCTATCCTTGAGGCAGAAGTGTCCCCAATGTACAATGAATCCCATAGAACATGGCTCAGATCACTGAAGATCATTTTGTATGCTGCAGTCTCACACAACTGCTGAATCCCTTCTTGGCATGCAGAAAGAGTGAGGTCAAATTTGCTTTCAAAGCCATTTGTGATGTCTGCTTGAGCAGATTCCACGTTCCTTAGACAAGTTTTAATTTTCTTCCCCAGGTTCTCTACTTCTGTTCGGATATGATGAAGGGTGTTCATGCGTAAACAAAACTGTAGTAGACCAAAGGAACCTTCCCCTGTCACTGTTCCAACCTGTGAATTTCTCCTCTGAAGATTTTGTGATTTGTCCTTTTTCTTCCAAATTTTTGATCCAATTTCAACTCTGGTTAATGAAGGAAGCGCAGGAATGAAACTACTTCGTGTTCCTGAAATGAAATTAAGTCTTTAAATGGTGCACATGGTCCATTGGGTGGCAATTTGTAGGCTTAATTCAAACTTACCGCATCCAGACTTGACCTTTGTGGCATAATATTGCAAGCTTTTATCTAGCACAATCATCAAGTCTGGAAGCAAAGCTGGATGGATTGGTATAGGAAGCTGGAAAAATGCATCTATGGTTTCCACAACCGATCGGAGAACTTCCACTGCAGAGGGTGCACAACGCTCCTTATTGGTGCCCTTAGAGTTCCATGCCTGAAATAGATGATTTTACTAACGTTGAAGTATTATAATAGGATTACCTAACCACTACAGCTGGAGAATTAGAATAATAGTCAGAGATTAATCTTATGAACGTAGAACTGAATATGAAAATTAATCAAAATAATATCTGTTGCCTATCACCGCCTAGACATTAAGATTTTGTTCGGGACGGCTTTTTTAATTTTTGTACTAAGAAGCTGCTTTAAGAAGTAATAAGAAAGCTGTCCCAAACAGAGTGTAAGAGATACTAACCTAGCCACAGCACATTGAACTGAACTTGAGCGCACAGTTTTTGGCAGTAGCTGGCATGTTTCAAGTTTGCTTATATATTAACAATCCTCAACTACAATATACAGCACCTAAACCATATCTCTTTAAGTGCTTCAATCTACCAATAGACAGTCAAGCAAGCACACTTCTTTTGAAAAGCAAAATAAAATTTTAAGCAAAACAGATTATTGATATGCATTTGAACATTAACAAGACTTTAGTACACAAATCAATGAAAATTTTAAAACAAGATGTGAAATGTGCTAATAAGGTATTTCAGCTGCTTATTGAACTCACTTTTGAAAGCATTGTAAGGGAATCAAATAGAGTCAATGAAAGAAAGAGTTTGTGTTTAGATCAACATTAATTTTGGTAAGCAAACATTTAATATGTAACCTAATTTAATGTATGGATACGTAACATGTAATATATTTCGTGTTTTAATATTGTGTAATAAATACCTTTTCTGATTGAATAACAGAAATTGATTCAGTGTCATACCTCCTGCTGCAAGTTCTTGTCAACGCACTCCTTCAGCTTATCCACTCTAACTTTCAACCAAGCTTTTGTAAGATTGGCGATTACAGATTCGGCCTCATATGGAGGCATCTCACGAATGAGTCCCTTACCACCATCTTCACTATCAACGGAATCTTCAACAGCAATCTGCACAAGGTCTTTCTCTAATTTGTCTGCCGCTTTTAGTACTTGGACAGAATCTATAGTTAGATCTGTGACACTAGATATAAATTGCTTCAATTCATTTCCAAAACAAGAATGAAGAGTAGCAACAGCAACACCAGCTGCAAGAGGATGCCATCTCTTTAGTATTGGGCTAAAAATGTTTTTCTCCTTGTTTGCTAGATCACCTGTGTCCTTTGCAAGTATTGCAAGAACTGGCACTGAAATGCTCTGATTTTTAGCTGAGCGCCTGTTTGAGTCTACCTTCTCCATTATCTAAGGAATTATGAATCAAAATAGATCATCAATATACATTTCTATGACTTATAATAGTCTGTATAGCTGGCATTAAAGATCAACTAATACAACATGATCTATCTGTACAACACACTAAGCTGTATTTAATATCAAAAAAGAAAACACATCAATTTTGTGTGCAAATAAACTGTGTGCGCTGTATATGCATTCATATTAATAAATAGATACAATAAGAGAAATTTGGTATTAAAGGCTACTCAGCATGAAAGTACGCACAAGGCAATTTTAGGATTATCTGGTCAGAATGAATGCTTTCACATTGACTAATAGAATAATGCACCATAGTCATTCGAACAGTAATCTCTAGTAACTAGCGACTAGAGGACCAAACAAGTCTTATTCATAAAGGAGTAAAGGACCGCTCTACAAACAATTCAGATAAAAGTATGACTGGGTCACTCAAACGGTTCAAGGGACCACTTCCAGTTAAAAAAAAAAAAAGGGCCACCTTAATGCCACAACTGTAATATATGTGACTTTATGCATGGATATTGGAAATATTCATCTGAAATTCATTAATCATTCATATAACTATCATACGAATTAATGTAATATACTTTAACATCTTAAATACTTTAATTTATTTTAAATGGTCCATCACTAATTCAATCAATCCACCATATGACTCATGACCTAACAATCAAATACCTTAACCAAATGAATGTCAAGTGCAAGTGTAATAATTAAGAAATAAAAATTATATGTATCATTTAAACCTTTGACATTTTGATTATTTTTTTTAAATGTGTGAGAGGGAAAAAAACTATAACTTATATTTACCAAATGCATCTTTTTTTCACTATGCTTACATAATTTAAATTGCATGCTTTGACACATTCCCCATACAATGTTTAATTGCAAAAGACCCCAAAAATTGCAGGGCTCTTGAGCTCTGATAACGATACACTACTACAGGAAAGAAAAGAGAGCATGGTTAATGAAGAAATGAAACCTGAATCCAACCATCTTTAAGTGGCATAGAGGCCCTAAAGCTTACTGGGAATTGTACAATAGTTAAGTATCATTTCTCCTTAATAAATAAATAAAACCATGAAAACAGGAATAAAAAAAATAACAGCAAACTGAATCTATTAAGGTTTATAGAAAGTTTTATGATCTTTAAAATGGATCAGGATTTACTTGAGCAAAAGATGTTCTAAGTGATGAACGAATGTAAGTGTCTATTCTACTACGAGCAACATCAGCTTCTTCTCTTCTCTTGCGACGATATTCATGAGAGATGTCTTCCACCATTATCTTGGCAGATGACACCCCTAAAGAGACAATATACTCCATGAATTCAATGTTAGTAACACTGAATGTGTCATGGTAAGTTAGAAGTCTTTTCTCTGTCCATCCCAATATTGAACTCAAGGTTGAACTGAGTATCTTCGAGTAAACCACATCCTTAGATGATTTGGCATCATTAGAAACTTCCATTAGTTGGTTATCAGCTGCCACCAGCAAATCAAGGTCTCTTTGCCCAGTTTTCACAAAGCGATAAAACAAAATCCACAAGAAACAGAGATTATGAAGCATCTGAGTTATTCCTAGGACAATCCAAGTCTTCTTGATCAAATCCATTAAATCATCAATTTCATCTATTATAGATCCTTCCTCATAATCAAAACATGCTTCTAACAGCACGTGGTACAGATGCAGATTCAGGGGACTGCCATCTGCCCAGTGGTATGCATCAGAAGAAAATCCATCTGCTGACCTGCTAGCTAGGGGCATTACAGCACTACGAAGAGCCTGCATTGATTCTGAATTCTTTCCAGTCTCTATTGGCCTCTCTGAAGCTCCACGTATGATCTGCCTAAGCCTTTGGGACGAGACATCTGATTTATCTAATGCAATGAGAGGGTGTAGGAGTAATCCAGCCTCAAGAAGCTTCAAATTTCTACTACGCCAAGCTTCATACTCTTGCTGATCGGGAAAATCAGAATTTTTAAATTGCTGCATTAACTCCAATGGCAAAATGATGGATTCTACACGTCTCCCAAGCTGTCAAAAAGAGAAGGTGGAAAGGTCAGGACAAGGAATCCATAGAGCTTACTATAAGTCATCTTGGGATTATTATCATACTAAAAAAGAAGACATCAAAAGACTAAGTATTGTCATAATATTTTTAAATCCAAACAATCTATACAGGTAGAGAAGAGATGAGATGTATGGTTTCAAACTAACTTTGCTTTAAGCATAATGAAAGATGATAGTTTTAAAACACAAATACTCACAAAAACACTCCATGCATACAACAATAGAACAAGAGGAATTACAAAAAAAAAGATAGATTAAAGAAGCTAATTTCTTCAAAAAATCCAGGCCAACAAAAGGCCAAGGTATGAGCTATATGCAAACCAGAACAAATTAAGTGATAATAGAATATATTAAACACAGTGGGAATTGTTACGTAGTGTCAATAAAACAAAAACCCCCAAAAATTCTCACCTATTAAAATAGCATTCAACTCTGACATAATGCACGATAAGTCGTGGGTTTTCTCCTTAAACACATTGTGAAGCCGTCAAAGGGTACAAGTATATTATTCACAGTATTGGTAACAATCATATAGACACCAAGGGTCAAAAACAGTTCAGCATAACAGCTTGTTAACAGAAATATAATTGATTAATGACTGCACTAGATACAAGCAGAATGATGAGAAAAACGTGTCATTTTATGAACTGGATAAAGGCACCTAAGGAACTAATAGTAACTCAGCTGTTAGAATGGACATACTCCTCCCAAAGACTTAACATGGTTTAGGGTTTAGGCAAAGAATCCATTGTAATTTTTTATCATCCAACTTCCAGGAGAAAACCCTTCAAAATGGCAATCAAAGAGCAACTCACTGATTTCTATATATCACATATGAAGCCCCACAACCATAGTTAACTGTGATAAAAAAAAAAACAAGTTGAAAAGGTCAAAAAGAACTGCAAAAAACCTCATAAATAAAAAAGGGAATAACCAGAAGAACAGAAAGATGGTCAGAAAATCGAAACAAACCAAAACATGAACTAATGCCCCACATTCACATATGAAGCCCCACATTCAATTTCAAATAATTAAAAAAAAAAATGAAGTAATGTCATTAGAAGCATCAATGATTTGAGTGAATCCAAAACTTAGATCCAATTGGTAAAACAGAGCAAACCACTTAAAGGAACGAATGTTAGACGAAATGTGAGAAACGCAATACCTACAACGTAGCTCACCTGGCTAGCCGAGATCCTGAGCAACCCTCGCCGGATCCGCGAATCAGTTTGCTCAGACGCTCTCATCTGCACCCTCATGAGTTCCCCAATTGTCATTGGCTTCTTCACCGTCCTGGAGGGGCTACTCTCTTTCCCGGAGCCCCTCTTCGACGACTTCATCCCCAACGCCTTCTTCATCTTGCTAGCAGCCGTCGAAGTTAAAGATCTCTGCATCGACGGCGACGCCGACATCGACGAAGCGGACGACAACGATCTCTCCGCCGACGACGGCGTCGTCGATCCGACCGCTCTCTCCGAAGACGAAATGTATGTTAGCGGCTTTCCAGCCGTGTTTCGGCACGCCGCAACAAAGATCTCATACGCCGTCTCCCGAAGCTCCTGATCGGATAACTTGCAGCCCAATTCACCAAACGGCAAGGGGAGAGACTCCGTCGAGCTCCTCTCCGTCAGCGACATGGAGGAGAGCCGCAAGGAATCGCCCGATGATTCCCTCCCCAGGGTTCCTGATCTCTCTCCCAACAGCGAAGTCATTCAAGGTTTTTTGATCCTTCTGTCTCAGCTACAGCGAGAAGTGTAGAGAGAGAGAGAGAGAGAGAATATGATAAGGACAGTGGGAAAGAGAATATATATCGTTTATGACGTATTAGGGGGGAGAAATAAAGCTTAAAACTTAAATACGAAGAGCAATTAAAGGGACTTTACTTGACCCACGCAAATTGTGATTACACCCACCGCCACCATGGCATAAAGGTTGAGCAAATAGACGGTGTGTTTCTGGGTGTAAAACAAGATTACTTTTTGTTTACTATTTTTTACTGGATTTTAAGCGATGATTATGGAATGTTTAGCGTGCAGATTGCTACAGAACTGCGATGGGAATATCGGAAATACCCTTTACCCAAGAAGATCAATTGTATTAAGCATTGGGGCATTTTAGACATTTAAAAGGCTCCTACCTCTGTCGTTAGCGGGCAAAAATTATAGTGGACAGTAGGAATAATTTTGAATTATTGATGGCATAAACTCGCATCATGTAATATCTGTCGTAAGATTTCTGTCTACGTTTTATGTGTTGTGGTTGGAGATCTTAAAATTAGTGATAATTTTTTTTTTAATTAGTGATATATTTAAAAAAAAAATAGTGATAATTTAAGTTTTATTTGAGATAGTTCTTTTGATATTTTGTAAAGCTATTTTTTAGTATAAATATTTTTGTTAAAAAAATAATTAGAAAATTGCTTTAAAAAATATTAAGAAAGTTGTTACAAACGAAGTCTTAAGCTTTGTTTGGGACAACTTTCTTATTGTTTCTTAATGCAGTTGTTTAGTACAAAAATTCTAACTTAAGTACTATAAAATTGCTTTAAGAAGTAATAAGAAAGCTGTCCCAAACGAAACCTTAGGTTCACTTTGGAACAACTTTTTTGTTGATTTTTAAAGCAACTCTTTAGCGTTGTACCGAGTTTTTTAAAAAAAATCGGTATTGCGCTGTTTTGGTCTAAAACCGAACGTAGAGGAGCGTATGTTCACTGAATGTAATAAAAGTTCTAGTTTATGATAGCTTTTTTATTGCTTTTTAAAAGTAATTTTAGTACACCATATTTTTGAAAATTCCAAACCTTATTTTTCTTCATTTATCAGTGTCGGCTTATGCTTCATTAATTTTTTTGAAATTTTATAGTAGAAAATCACTTTAGAAAATAGTAAGAAAGGTGTCTCAAACAAAACCTTTGTTCTTTTTTAGATTTGTAGCTCATATTTTCAAAGTCATTTAAATGTTGAGTTGTAACTTTAATTGATTTTTCATTTGACCACATCTAATTATTATCTATAGTTAATGAAATTAGGCTAGCTTTGTTCCTAAATTAAAAAAATAATAATTTTGCCAAAAGCCAACTGTAAAAGTTAGTTTTATATAAAACACCCTATTTGGAAGAAAATTAGTAAATAAATAGATATGTTTTAAAGCTTACATAATAAACGGATGGTCGGCGCATTTATGATTTATGACAAGCAAAATGTTTTTACTAATATGAAGATTTTGCAAATATTTTTTTATCTTAGCGGCACTTTGATTTGTTGAAAAAGTATATTTATGATATTTTCAAATTATTTGAATAAATATAAATATTATTATTATTATTATTTAATTTGAAATAAAATGAATTCAGTATAAAATCTAATGTTAGTGATGGCCGATCGCGATGGATGGCAGAGGCTGGCAGTGAGTTGCAGGATACGAGCTGTGGCAAAGACAACATCAATTATAATGAATTTGCAACATATTTAGAACTCGGTCAAATCATAACATATAATCACATATCATAACAATTACATAGCATGCAATGCAATCTAAGACGAAATACTTTCAAAATCTCCTACATTAACAACATATCACCAATATTTGCTTCAATGAGTAGCATTTTCAAAATCTCTTACATTTCACAATAAATAATGACTTCATTAGTAGAAAGTGTCATGAGGACATGGCTTGTAATATTACAACTAAATTCATAAGTACTACATCTAAATCTATGATAAAATTTCATATACTGATATGTATAATATTCTAAACCTAAATTTAGTGAAACAAGTGATTTTGATTGGACCCGTAATTTCTAAATTTTTTGCCTCCAAAAGACACATCATAAAAGAAATTAAGCACCATTAATATATAAAAGAAACTCACAATTTGTCACAACTACTATAATGAGTTGAAAAGTAAATACCATATGTTAATCGATGCTTAAGAATGTGTTTGTCATATTACTTAGTGTGTGCTTAATATGTGAAAAGGATTAGGAGTGACACAATCAATTATGGCAATCTACTAAGCCAAAGTGTGTGGGTGGCAATGTCATGTGGGGGTTTATGGGTGGCCAACTATGGTTGTGGAAGGTAAAGAAGGGAGGAATTTGAGAGAGTGCTCACATGACATGTTGTGGACATAAAAATGGGTTGTGGAGAGAATGGAAAGGTATGAAAGAGAAATAAGACAACAAGTTAAGAGTTTATAATAAACGAATAAATAAAATAATTTCAACTCTCAACAAAAACGATTGGTCGATCACCAAGGCAAAATCAAGAAAATATTCATAAGCAATGTCCTCAGGATAAATGCCCTAATTACATGCCCTAATAACAAAAAAAGATTCACTTACATTATCGATTCTAGAATAATTACCCTAATCATATCATCAATCTCATATATATCTTCGTTTCTTAATTATATTGATAGCTTAAAACAAAAGCGGGAGGTGGTTGGTCTGTTTCAGGAAACTAGATGACCAATTTTCGGATATTAGCTACAATGTAGATTGTCCGCTTCACTTACATGGGTGAGTCGGATTTTGAACTCCTTGAAAGGTATAAAGAAGCCCTTGATCATCTTGACCACTTGCCTATGATTCCTTAGAACTATGGGCTAACAATCCATATGTTGTTAGAAGTGGATCCTTGAATTGTGAAAGGTATTTTGACCAAACCCCTCATTGATTGTCCCTTTGACTTGAAATGAACCAAGTAGTTATGTGATGTGGTCATTCACTTAGGCTTCGTTTGGGACAACTTTCTTATTGCTTTCTTAAACAATTTTTTAGTACAAAAATTTCTTCAACTAAAAAATTTTGTACTAAAAAATTGCTTCAGAAAATAGTAAGAAAGCCGTCCCAAACAAAATCTTAATGAGTTAAAAAGCCTATTTTTCATATATAACCATTTCTATCTTACAAATGTCATATATGTTGCCAAGAAAATAAGACATTTAAAAGAAATATGTTAATTGTCCAAATTAAAAACAAGCACATTTGATTATATATCCCTCCCTACCCTATATAACCATTTCTATCTTACAAATGTCATTATGTTCCCATTTTGTTATCTTCTCTTTCACCTTAGTATCAGCTGGACAAAAATTTTCTTCTTAGGATATTAAAAATCTTGAGCCAAAGCTGAAATAAGACAAGAACAAATAATTAACAGTCTTATTTACAAATAACTCCAATTTACTTTAAGTTCATGATGGCGCAACCATGGCTTTGATTTTCCAGGAATAATGAAGTCAAGGTTGACACTTCAATTTCTGCTTCCTGAAGCTAGAAAACAACCATAAAATTTACTACAGATCTAAAATATTTGCACCAATAAGGTTTCGTTTGGAAAATTTTTCTTATATTTTTTAAAGCAGTTTTTTAGTACAAAAATTAAGTACTAAAAAAATTGCTTTACAAAATAATAAGAAAGCCATCCCAAACAAAACACAAATCACAAATCACAAATCACAAATGAATGTCTTGTTAAGTGATGTTAACCACATTTGATCATCTAAAAACTCCAAATAGTGCCAATTGCCTAGCAGCAGTAGTTTACATATCTAACACCCAAAACATTAATATTATATGTCTACCATCCATATACAACTTTAATATCAAATATATCACTCCTATAATTCATTTATATCATTCATACCATCCTATAAACTTTAATATTTCATTTCAAACACCTAAATTTGTTCTATAGGTGATAGGCATGTAATATTAATGTTTTAGATGTTAGATATGCATATAACATGAAATAAAGTGGTATGTATGTAAATCTCCCTTTTCTTTATTTATTGTTTCCATTATGTATTGCAGTATCATTTTGACTCAATAGTAACCTATTGAATTATTTTTTTCTTAATCTTTTGCTTTTTGATATGCTCTTTTTATTTTTATCAATAAATTCTAAACTCTGCAGTTGATAAATTATAAAATTTTATATTTTATTGGGTTGGATTCAGTTATCCGGGTTGCCAGCTGGTCGAATCTGGTCCACCTTTTTGACCCATTTATGAACAGGTTGGGTAGGTTAACTTCCCGTTGGACCTGAATCCCACCCATTAGCATGCTTTGACACCTCCTTATTGGTAACATGGGCATAAATTCCTAATTGTTTTTTAAAATCAACAGTCAATAGGGAACATGGGCACAAATTTCACTCATGACTGCTCCCATTCCCCAACCCATTGAAAAGAATGACCATCCTACTCATAATGAGGCTGTAGTAATGCCAAAATACCTTGCAGTGTTGGTACGCCTGTAAAACATATCAGACCATAAAAAGCTGGCAAGACAAATTGCATACCAAAAAATGCAAAAATATGAGATCTTGACTTTCCATATGGTGATTGGATAGAGTTTGAAGGCCTGTGGCACGACCGATTCTGTGCGGACACCGGATGAGAGAATCGTCCGGTTTCGTGCTTGGTAACGAGCGGTATCGAGTGCGGTATCTTTTTTGGGGCGACGTGGCACATTTTTATTGGTCTCCGGACAAATCCGGACCAGCATGTAATAATTCAAATCCGGACTCACACGTAATAATTTTTTGTGGCACATGATGCTTAGTTCACTTGTGAAAGGAACCATTTATGAAGCACAAACATTTTCATCAAATCACATTAGATAGAGTAAAAAATTTAGCATGAGTAACAGGAAGGTGAGGACATCTTAAAACAAAATGGACAAAGAATATCCATAGAATGCTCAGATGGAGAATATGCTAGGCCATATTCAATTGCTTACCAGGTGCCTATACATTGAAATGACCGATTTGCAACTTGAGGGAAAGAATCTGGTCACCATCATAAAGCCCGAGCTATGTTCTTGAACTCGTTCAAGCAAGATTGTAAGATCTTTTCCCTCTTTTGAAGGGATTGCCGTTCATTTTGAAGGACATCAATGGCGCCAGGTGCTACAAACATGTCCATAAAATTTTCATCTGTCACAGCAAATAGCTCCAAACCAAGCGCCACTATCAACCGTTCTCGACTGAAAATCAAATTAACATGAAAAAAATGATTATTATATTTAAATTAGAGCATTAATGGATATATAAATAGATTAACTACTTAATGGTGCAGGATTGTAAAAGCTTTTGAGGCCTAAAATGTTTATTAACAGCTGCAGGTGCAGAACTAGCTATAATTTTTAGGGGGCAAACTTATAAGTAACTGTTGGCAGATATATCGGGGGTCCAAGGGGGCAGCGCCGCCGGAACAAATTTTGATTTACTATTTCTCTTTGTATTTGGTTCATCGTTTCCTGACAATAACATCTCTACATAATGTATTTAATTATACTCGGGGCAATTGCCTAAAAACCTTGTAATAAAGACTAAAAAATAGACTGAGGAGACAAATTACCTAAAGAAGCATATTTATATTAATTTTAGGGGGGGAATTGCCCCCGGGCTCAAGGGGGTTCCGCACCTGAACAGTTCATTTATATGTAGAAAATCAAGGAAAAAAGTATGAGAGAAATCCTTTTAGATGCATCAAAAATAGATTCTTTTGTCAAAGAAGATGAGATATCCTAAAAACTGACTTCAAAACATACCATGGAGTGAGGAAACCAGAATTTAAGGCAGAGGAAACACTTCTCTCAATGAGAACCTCACGAATTCGTGCAAAGTGTTGAGCTGCTAGAGAGCAAATATCAGTATATGAAGAGCCTGATTTAGCTATATCACCGAACACAAAGCTAGAATTCTGGTTTCTGGTAGCATCTGAAATCCTTCCATTGGTAACAGTTCTTGCTTGGCGTTTTCTTCCACCGATATCCAAACAATTCCCATTTTCCTTCTTCCTAACCCCTAAAACGGCATCAACTGGCAGATCTGGTGAAGGTGTCTCAGGAATTGTCATTTGACTCTCTTTTAGTGCCTCTCTAGACTCCATTTTTTTTCCAGGTGTTGTGTTCTGTTGATCTTTAGGTGGTACATTTTCCTGGTCCATCTGTTCTTGTGCACCTGTTGATTCTGACAGATCAAGGAAGTATGAGATGCTTTGAATCTGGTTGGATCTAGGATATGAATTTGAACCAGAGCCAATCCCACCTAGGAAGTCGGGTTCATAGCACACTTGAGAGTATGGGCTAGTTACAGAATCAAGGTGATGTCGCACTAGCTGCTTGCAATGCTTAGAGAGACCATTAACAAAGCTATTGTAAGAGCGTCTTAAAGCAGCGTGAAATCCAATATAACCATCCATATCTCCATTTTTTTGCCAATCTATACAACAAAACAACTACAAAGTTAATATGATGTCATGAAAACAAAAGTTACAAAAGAGAATGATGAATGAATCTGTAACATTATAGAATAGAACTACTTACAGTCAAAGTCATGGCTGCGGTTTCGCTCCACCGCCAAATCAAAGAGGCTCCTCAAAACAAAAGCAAGCCGCTCGCAGGCAGTATCCAGAATAGGAGCAAACCATGCTCGTGCAGCGGCGCGTGCTATCTCAGCAGCTGCCTCTACTATTCCACCACCACCGCCTCTGCCAGCATGGGCAAGTAAAATATTTGCCACCTGGTTCATGGTTAATAAGACTGAATCAAATTTCCAATAACATACAAGAGTAGACAAGAATTCCCAAATAGACAATCAGCTTATACTACCTTCTCCCTCGAGACCGGTGGGCATTCAATCGAGTATGTAGCACAGCGAAACTCATGCATTACTCTCTCAAATGCTGCACCACCATATAATCTAAGGTTAGAATTTGGAGGCTTCACAACTGCAATGACACCTGGCCAGCTCCCAAAACCACTCTCTTGCTGTTCTTCAACAGTTGATTTTCCCCACTGCTCGGGAGCTGGATCTGCAGCACCATCTATCAATGCACCCTTCAACAAAAATTAACATTTATTTCGACATGGAAGTGTTGGAAATAGAGGAAAAAAACAAGAAGTGGATCAAAAAGCATTCATACCACATGAGTGCAGATAGAAGCTGCATGAAGCATTGCAGACTTTCGAAGGTGGGAGATATCAGAAGTGGCCTGTAACTTGTACTCTATTCGACCTAACTCAAGAGAGACTTCACTGCAACGCTGCTCTAGTAATGCCAGTGTTGCTGGAGCAGCTTCTTTGTACCTCTTCTGGAGTTCGCATTCCAGAAATTTTCTGAGACAACCAAAACCAATAAATGGTTCAAACTTCTCTTCATTGAATCCTCCTTTTACATTCTGACGCAGATGGTGCAAGACATCAAGGTCCACCTGAGAAATTTGCCTACGGAACTCCTCATTAGTGACCATACCCCTATCCTTAGGAAGTGCAACAAAAAATGGGTGGGTGTTATCTCCAAGATAACCACTAGCACTCAGGTAGCGATCAACTTCCCAGCTCTCAGTAAACTCCTGCAAGCATTTTGATCAACTTTATCAGTGCTGTGATTTTAGCTTTAAATTTTAAAAAATTTAGAATAGATTGTTTGGTCAAGCCATGAGCCAAAGTTTTGGCTCTATCTGACTTTCAAGCCAATTTATATATATGAGTGTAAAAATGAATGTTGAGCTAAGAATTTGCAGTAGAAGAAAAAAAAATTAATCAAGATCAGATTGATTTTTGACTTGGACTAAATTCAGATAAAAGTTAATGAGTAATATCAGGATCAAATCAATATCAAATTAAGCCAAATTTTACTAGACTTGACTTGTCTCAACTCAATATCAGATCAAATGGTTGGAATGGCTTGAGATCGAATAATTAACAAATCTAACCTTTTTGAAAACAAATTTTTTTGAAAAAGATTACCACAATTATACCTTCAGGCGGTTGTCAAACTTGGAGACAACAATTATGGTTCTTTTGAAAGTGGGATCAATTTCCTTGATAGAATCTAACCAGAGAGAAGAGCACCATTCAACACTGCTCTGTTGCAGGAACAGGAGAAGGCGGTGTGGAGGACTGGCTAAAGACTTCACCATTGATAAAATCTCAGTAGGTGTATTTTCTGGCTCACCTTTCTTCGCCTGAAAAAACGAAGTTTGAATGAAAAAAAGAAAAAAAAAAATCCGTAGATTGCTTCTTCCCTTTAATAGATTGTAATTAAGAAAATCACCTTGAGAACAAAACCAGGAGTGTCGATGATGGTGAGATTGGGGCAGTGGGCATACTCAGCTCTCATGACGATTGGCTTCGAGGAAACTGCAGCTCCAATCTTCTTTAGATGCGCCTCAGTGCGGGATCGGATTAGGTCGGCAATTGCAGTACCCAAAACCACTGGACATCCGTACTCCTCTGAGTCTTCATCCTGAAAGAACCCGATTAATCCAAGATTCCAAGTTTAGTAACTAAAGAATACGGTGCAAACCATGGCAAAAGAAAAAAGATCAAATCTTTGGACACTATATTCCACCACAATAGCGTCCAGAAGAAAACCCTAAAAATGGGTAATTTTTTCAAGAATCTAATTTGCACGAAGCCTTTAGATCTAACGGACATGGAAAAACCTAGTAAAATTTAAGAAAGGAACCTGGAAGCGGCATCTGGGCTCGAGGGACGTGGGGTCATGGACCATCTGGAGGACGAGAGGGCGGCGCGTACCCATCTCGACCTCACGGACGTTAAAACGGAAGCCCAGTAAAGCCTCGAGAAGCGAGCTCTTTCCATCGGATTGGCCACCAACAGCAACAATCTCCGGGATCGGAAGCTTCTCCCCGAAAGCGAAGGCTGCAGCCTGAAGTCGGTTGTAGGCTTCAAACCTGGACTTGAAATCGGCCGATGCGGCCGAAGAATCTGCGTTGGCACTGTGGCTCGGCTGCGCAACTCTCCTTGCGGCCGCGGAGTGGGATTTTGGGTTCGGAGTCTTGATGGGGGTGCTGGTGGTGAGAGCGTTGGCGGCCATTAGCGCGAGCGAGGACAGGTGAGGGGAGGAGAGAGTGAGAAAAAGAATTGAAATTTGAATGGGGAGAGGGGAGGAAGAGCGACAAACTAGCCGTTTGAAGATTATTTTAAGCTCGTTCCTAGGGTATGTTACCCATTACCAATCTCCGCCGTCCAAGTGCTTGGAACGGTGGAGATGAGAATCATTGCCCATTTAAATAACTTATTTATCACTCTGAATGCAATATAACAAATATTTCTATTAAGTTTCTTTAAGGGGCTGTTTGGCAACCAGTGGGATTTAATTTTAGGTGGATTTAATAAATCTTATAAATTCGAATTTAGTAAATTCGAAATGTGTTAAATTCTGAAAATTATTTGGTATGTCAAATATTAAATCCTGTTAAATCCTGAAAAACTGTTTGGTAACATATATCAAGATTTATGGCGGTTATGGATTTAAATTTAAAGATGATATTTATGAAGTAAAGTTCATTGTATAAAACATAATAAAACTAATTTTAATTCATATAAAATGAGCGAGAATTCAATAAAAAGCAAATTACAAACTAATATTGAACAAAGTGACAGATGAAGTATTAAATAAGCTAATTATATTAATATTTAATTACTAATTATATCATTACTTAATCAATTAAATTAAATTAAATTAAATATTAATTTGTGCACTAATTATACTATTAATTAATTTAATTTAATTATTAATTGTTTAAAATATATTAATTTAGTTAAGCAATAATAACTTTGAGGCGTCTAGGGTTGGTTTGCCTTCATCTTTCCTTTTCGTCGTTGCTGTTCGGCTACATTGTTTTGCAGGAGGTGTAGAGTTTGCCTGCGTCGCTACTTCGGCTCCTTCGTGGCTGTTCTTGCGTGCGTCGCTACTTCGGCTCCTTCGTGGCTGTTCGACTTCGTTCATTCGACGACTTTCCCTTCCTTCCAGCCTCCAGGTTCAAAGTTACGACATTTTGATCGGAAGCAACAAGGGGAGCTTGCTGGCTGTGAAGGTTCGCCGGCGATTGTTGAGCTTCGGCGACACGTGCGACGCGAGTAAGTCTTCCGTTACTCTTTAAATCTCGTGAAATCCACTGAACCGAGGGAATTAGTAAATCCGAGATTTAAGTCGTAAATCCCTAAACCTGGGATTTATTGAATCCTGGGATTTAACGCGCATTGTAAAACCGTTTGGCTGGATTTAGCATAAATCCGACTTAAATCCGATGATAAATCCAATACCAAACAGGCCCTATGACTATCAAAGCTACCTTATAATGCTATATTCTAAATTATCCTCGAATATAATTAGGTGGGGATTTTAAAATTTAATATAATGGAGTATGGTGAGTTTAGTATAGAGTTTTTAGGTTCTAAAGACCCATTAAAGATAAAGACAATATATTTTATTAGAGTTGGAGAGGACTTATAGACTTGTGGAATTGGAAATGTTATATGGTTTCATTGGGAAAGTTGCATAGGCTTTATATAGAGATGTATTAGGCTTAAGTAGCCTTTCATAGATTTGATTGAGTTGGGATGAACCACATAAATCCAATTAAGATAGATAGAGTCCATCAATTTAATAGAATTGATCATAAATGGAGAGGAATTTTAATTTAGCACTTGAAAATGAGACTCAATAAAATTATCTTCGAAGAGAGAGGATTTTAGATGTTTCTCTTGACTTGATCTAATTTGATTTTCTGCCAATAAGACTCATCGAGACTACCTTCAATAAGGGGTAGGATTATAAAGGAAACACTTCCTTCAAACCATATTCTCTCTCTCTCTCTCTCTCTATACAAGTTTATATGGACCTTATATAAGTTTATGGCAGTCTAATTGGCCCCATCAAGCATGACTAATCAAATTTTAATAATGTAATAGACATTTTGTACTTGCTTTTACAAAGTAGGCATAGTTAACTATTTACACCAAAATTGAGCTTTAGTTAATCTAAAATGACATCTTAAATCTTATAGTTGAGATACTCTACTCAGAGACTAAGAAATTATGATATGAAAAATAGACAAAAAAATATATATGATCATATGATCTTATGACCTACATCCACTATATATATAGATGGATAGAGTGAAAATGTTTTTATATGAGAGAAGGAAATTATAATATGTGTATATGTTGTGAAAATAATAGATCTGAAAGGGCATATAAATGAAACTTGTATATATAAAGATAAACTTGAGAATTGGATCCATTAAAATAAATATAATTATACCTTCATCATAATTGCACATCAAATTCAAAAATTGGATTAAAATTAATCAAACAGCATTGTCCATTCAAATTGAACAGATAAAAAAAGAGATTTGGTTTACTCATTCAACTTCTATCTTGTAATATAGATATAAATTTTTTTATCAAGATGGCTTAGTATAATGATATCTAATTATCTACATATAAATAGAAGCAAACAAATGCTCAAAAGTTGGACTTTGATGAGAACTTTTATTTCTACTTAAATGTCCTCTACTTATGAGCATTCTCTTCTAATTTTAATAGCCTATTTTTATATTTTGATAAAAAATATTCTAGTTAGGGAATAAATGGGTTGATTTATGCTCTGGACCATTGTTGACTTTCTTTTTATTTTATGAATGTCACTTATGGCTACAAGATTGACTGATTTGTTATTGTCTTCTATTTTTATTTTGATTTTGATATGAAATAAAAATATTTTTTAATATTTTAAATATATATCATCGACCTAATCAACTACTTTATAGACGTCTAACTCCTTGAAGTTATGTAAAAAAGATAAAAAAAAAACTCCTTGAAATTATTTTGAAAGATGCTATTGTGCTCAACTAACCATCCTTAATATCATTTCAATCATTGCACAATCGATAGCGAGGTTACATGCTTATAAAACTGAAGTTCCAATAGGCCAATAATAGAACTTACATCAACAACCATAACCCTAACTTTAACACCATTCATTAGGGCCTTCGTAATGCACAATATCTCCTAGAACTTGACCACATCCACCCCCAAAAGCCTTTGAAGGCTAGTATTGGAGAATTTATTACGCGTGGTCCCCAGATTTCACTAGATGCCATCTGGAAGCGAATTAGGATGCACCACATCACCATTTTGCTGTGTACCGGGGTGATGTGCCCCATCCTAATTTGCCTCTGAAAAGTCCAATGATCGTACATAATAATTTTTCTAGTATTGCCACCACAAGAATGGAACCATAAGTTCACCCTATCATCCTTTGTTAGGCCTACCACCATATACTTCACAATCAGTAGCAAAATATCAAAACTAGGGTTTCAAATTAGAAAGGACAAAAATGACTAATATGAGTGCATGTGATATAATATAACCATAAATAATTGTTGCTAAAAGATTTAAGTGATGTGCAAT